TATTTGGCGTGTGGTATTAGGCAAAAATAGAGTGATAAAAGAAGTTCTTTCGAAATAACTCATTGCCCAAATAACTTCAGTAAACTGTTGCCAAACGAGTTATTTGTAAAATTGTTCGAATTATCCTGAAAATTGAACCATTAAAGATTAACTATCAAATCTAGTAAAATTATTGAGATTTCAATCATAACTTACTCAATAACATATATCCTATACACTTAGCCTTACCCTCAATCGACAATATTAAGTTAGTATATGTTGTTGATTGTATACTCTAAACCATCAATACATTATACACTAACCACATACCCTATACCCTAACCATATGTCCTTATGAGTTGTGATTTTGCTAGTATAGTTAATTTAAAACTGAATTTCGTACTTAGATTTTCAAAACATTAATTGCTACACCCTAACCATATATCTTATACTCTACATCATATACCTTGTACCCTAACCACGTACCACAAACATAAATTAAAAAGGGATCTCCTGCCGTCAAAGACATCAAATGACTTCAAGTGAACATATGTTAATAAAAAACTTAGAACCGTCAAAACCATCAATATCTTATACCCTAACCATATACTCCCTAAACCATCTGTACCTTATACCATTTATCCTAACCAATATACTTTATACCCTAAACAACGAACCGTCAAAGATTACTTATCAAGTTTAGTATAATTGTTGTAACTAATGGTTAATTTAGTTATTATCCCATAAACAATTACATACATATGTATATATATGGGGAGTTCTATGGTACCCAGGGTGAAATCCGGGGTACCGCATACCAGGAGTAAGAAAACGCTATCCAGAACTTGAATTGATTGATCTTTCGGACATAATACTATACTCTAACCCTTAAAGATCAAAATCTAGGTCTTAATTCTCTAAATCTTATACCCCAAGATTAATTTAATTAGAAAAAATAATTGACGGTTATGAGTGGTTCTAATATAGGCAAAAAAACCAATGCACCATTTTAGGGTTTATAGTTTATGATTTAGATAATTAGGACCTAGAGTTTACTCATTAAATGTTAGGGTATAGTATCATGCCCAATAATCCTGCTAATTCGAGGTCTAGATAGCGTTTTCATACTTAAGGTATGTGGTACCCCGGATTTCACCCGGGGTACCGTAGAAGGCGCCACATATATATATATATATATATATATATATATATATTAGCCTTCAAAGCATATAAGAATAAATTTAATTAGTCATGCCCTCCATATAAAAATTAAAGATTCATATTACAAAGGCTAAAATTTTGAAAAACCAAAAAGTTGAAAACACCAAATTTGTTTCATTCTTTCTTTTCACAAAAAAAAATATACTAAAATTTCCCTCCTTCTTTCTCCTTCCATAAATTAGAAACACTCAATTTCCCTCCTCTTTTTCTTCCATAAAATTGAAAGAACCAAATTTCCCTCTTCCTTCCACAAAAAGTTGAAAACTCAAAATTTCCCTCCTTATTTCTCTTTCATAATCAAAAGAACCTAACTTTCCCACTTCTTTCTACTAGCTTATAACCCGGCCCATTGGCCGGAATATTCATATTTAATTATTTATATTTTTATGTTACGTTTAAGCTAATCAACCGGTTTAATTTTATTGACGATCTTTCGATCGAGATAATACATAAAGAAAGAATATATAGGTCTAACATTCGGAGAAACACCATATCATTTAATTTCTAATCCTCCTTCTACAACTCCATTATTTATTAAACTCTTTTACTTTCTGAACTTAAAACCCAACAATAAAACTGACGTGCCAAAAGATACCAGATGATTGATTTTCAAAGAAGGCTTTGTACTGGGAAGTGAAAGGAGTGCAAACTATTGTACGATGGAGGGAATTTTTGAGGAAGTTAGAAAGAGATAAGAACAAAGATAAAAACCACAAAATTTAAATTGAAAAATGCAAGGACACAACACGTAGTGACAAAATTATTTTTTTCCATGTTAGCCAATTACCAATTTACCTTTAACAAAAATTAAAGAGAGAGAAATAATTTTAAAATTGAGAAAGTACATGAAACTCTACAATGAAAATTAAAGTATTAAGCACCATAAAAATACATACGGTATACTTGGTGGGCTTGCTAATCATGATGGAAAGTCCTGCGATTTTCAGAGAGTTGAACTTCGTGTATATTTTGTATTAAAAAAGACACAACAAATTTGTTCAGTGTAAATGGTTGTGATTGTTGTCTTTGTTTGAAGAGACCCAAGTTCAAATCCTAATGTTGATATTTTTTATGTGAGATAAATAATTAATTGTAAAGACAAAAATATCCTTCCTACTTTCACTCTCATTGCACGAAATTTGAAATGGAGAAAAGTACACAAAAGTGTACTATATATTATTGGAGGATTCCCACAAATCAAAACCACCAAATTTCCCTTGTTTTTAATCTAAAAAATTCAAAGAACCAAATTTCCCTCTTTTTTCTCTTCCCAAAAAATTGAATACACCAAAATTTTCATCTTCTTTTAAAAACATCAAATTACCAAATACATTACTTTATTTATATTTAATTGATAATTTTATTGAATAGTTGAATTAACCATAATTTTAATTTATATATTATATTAGTATTGTTCATGATCTCAATTATTAATTCTTCATTATTAATATTGACATTATGTTGATTTTATATTTGAGCCGTTGGATGATGATGGAAGTGAAGCAGATGATGAGATCAGTCATGTAAGAGACGTGAGGAAGGTTCGATGTTCAAAGCCAGAGAAAGGAGTCTTTGCCATGTGTGTGGCCCCATGACTAATTCATTTAAAATTATTTAAATTGATATGATCCTTATAAAACTATTGTATAATAATGAAAAATAATAATGCGATAAATTAATAACCGAAAACAAACCTCTACTATAATTATCTTAATTGGCAAGTTCATCAACAAACCTCTACTATTATTATATTTAACCATTTTTTCTTAAGAATGTAATTTGTAAAAGTGACAAAACTAAAAATTTGATTTTATATTTACTTTTTTAATTTTGTTAAAGAATTTAGTGTTCAAGTGACCTTCATGTTTCAATTTTTATAATTTTCTTAAAATACATAATATCAAGTGAGTTTCATATTTTTTAAATTCCCTATACGAAATGAAAAAATAATTTTACCTAAGTTTAGAATGAAAAACTTTATTTTGAAAAAATATGTATTGTATATTATAATAATTAATAAGTGGACTAAGTGAGGTTCGGGTTGAGTCGGTCGGGTTACGGGTTAGTCGGGTTCGGGTCAATCGGGTTTGGGTTAATCGGGTTGCGGGTCATTCGGGTTGCGGGTCAATCGGGTTCGGGTTAATTGGGTTGCGGGTCAATCGGGTTTGGGTTAATCGGGTTGCGGGTCATTCAGGTTGCGGGTCAATCGGGTTGCGGGTCGGGCGGGTTGCGGGTCAATCGAGTTGCGGGTCGGGCGCGTTACGGGTTGTTGACTTTTAGTCAATTCGGGTTGTGGTCGGGTTGTGGATCGGGTTGATTGGGCGGGTTAATCGGGCCGGGCTATGTTTTGACACCTATAGGTGTTAGTACCCTATCTGGTCTCGCTTTGTTAATAAACTAAAAGAACATGATAAACAATAATAGGATAAAGTGGAGAGGAAAAAACATACAAGAAGAGAGGGAAAAGCCTTACTAATTTTTAATTGATCATAATTCAATTACTTTAATTTGAATTAATTAATTTAATGAAAATTATACTAATTATGCTACATAAGATGTCACATTTTAATATATTTTGATTGAAAAAATGTTGATTTAGGGTTTTCTTTACCACATTATATATTAATATACTACGGTGGTATAGAAGATTTTAGTTAATAGGAATATGTCAATGTAGAATATTTTACCATAGTGTTAAGAAATAGGAACATACCAATGTGATATTAAAAAGGTGGAGACCAGGTCACTAAGAAGAGGGAAATACTCAATAGGTTAAGACTATCTAAGAATGTCAATTGAACATTGCTCTATGGATCCCAACCCGGCTCAACCTGGTCAAATCGAGTAAAATTGAGTGTTGACCGTATAGTACCATACCCCTAAAAGAGGTTGATAAGAGTGAACATTGAATTGATTCAGTCAAAACTAAACTAAAATGACCATCATTAAGCAATCAATTTTAAACCAATCAACATCTACAATCGGTGTTCCGTACCAAAAATAAACTGGTTTAGTTTGTATTGTCAGGACATACCGAAAATTACCATCACAACTTGTTGCAATTGATAAATTCGATAAAAAGTGACAGTTCGTGACACTGACAACTAGTTGATTTCACATTTTGTTGTCGTTTAGAAGTAAAATTAGACAAGTTGGATTTTCATGATTTATTGTGAATTTCCAAGGTAAACAAACCCTAACATCCTCACACTAATTTGCAAAGGCAAATGGAGTTAAAAGAGAAAAATTGTACAAATTTGTGAAGCTCACGAATTTGATACTCTTATGGAGATAGACGAATTCAAAAATCTTCTGGATTCCTATGTCCGTGGAATTGACATCTTTTAGCTGCACCGAAAAAAGGATAAGAGTCGAAACTCCCTTTCCAGGGCTCACCAAAATGCGCACTGCTATATTTTTAATGGAACATAACTGAGTCACTACTTACAACCAACTCAAATTTCATAAGATCGAATATTTACAGAGAGGGTGGCCTTCCCGGACAATAACATCAGATCGTAAAATGAGACGTTGTGATAGGACTTACACAAGCAGAGGATCCTTCCTAGCAATGAACTTAGATTTCAGTCAGCAGCAGAACACTTAGCACCCAACACGCAGATATTTACAAGATAAATCACATAAGCGGAAATCAAATCATTGTGTGGAACAACACAAAGAATTGGCATACAACATTAGATGCCTTGCTGAACAAGCATTGATATGATAACACAGTGAGCTGAACGAATCCCAACGACGTGGTTGTTCTCCTAAAGTCCTAACCCACACAACATCCTAACTCAGAGAATCTTTGAGATAATGTGGCATGAGGTCCAGAAGGCGTTAGTGGCAGCCCTCAGTATTACCGGGTTCTGGTATATCCTGTGTGGTTTATAAGGTCAGAAAAATAAGATACCACAAGTTAATGAGGGTAATGCAGTTTTTAGTTTTTAGAAGAGCATTTACCCGATGGCTGTTGCTCCCCAAGACGCTACGTTGTAAATTACTTTGCTTCCATCCCAAGCCTTCCGAAGCTTTCCCTTGTTCTTTTTAACAGAGAATGTTTTGCTGAGGGCTGATGTGCAAAACCAAACAGGGCAAGTCAGCAACTCTCCAAATGGAAAAGACGGCACTTAGAATGGGAAAGGAACTTAGGGAACTGCTGATAAAATGTTCAAACCAACCTTCCTGAAGTTGATTCGGGGTCAGGTCCTGTGAACATGAGATACAAATGAGTTAGTATCACAGACTTCGTCTGTGGAGTATAATCATATTGGATGGCACTAATATCAAACAAGAAATCAAGTTGCAGTCTCTCTAAATGTACATCACCAGACTGAAATTCCCATCTTTTGTAGAACACCAACATGGAATGATGGAAATAAATCAGATTATTTTTTAACATTTACAGTTCATTGAAGTTGGCACATAATAGTACACAGCCTAACAGATACTACAGAACTCTTCCTTGTTTAATTCTGTACCAATGAAAAGCCTCGCAAAGGCTCAGTCATGGTCCAATGTCAAGCTAAGACACACAAGGTCCATGATAAACTCATTAGGAATAGACAAGCAGTAAGAGGATGATGAAAATGCTATCTAACATTCATTAGCATGCTCGTTACTGCAACAAATAAACAGCATATGCGGCAAAGAGTAGAAATGTTCCACACCTTAGTCTGTTTAAGGGAACAAAGATAAGCAGCCATGAAGCATGCAATACCGTCTACTATATCTTCTTGCCGAACAAGAACAAAGTCTTCTTGTTCTGAATGACCCAATTCACCTTCCCAAAGATCACTCTCATTGACCATGTCCCAAGAACTACATTCTTCTCCTACAACAGAATGTCTCGTATAAGGGAATTAATCTTCCAAGTAGAGAGCATGATTAGGATAACAAGAATTGGAACTAGCGTTGATACAGTTTAATACTCAAATCAGAGGCACTGCAAGTAACATAAAACAAGCATCAAAAGATGAGCTTCTGGGGATCATACCAATAATTTCATGTGGAACAGAAGCTTGGGCACACTCTAGCTTTTCAAGGAAGTCGGAGCATTCAACTCTAGACTTGAGAAGGTCACATAACTGCTCCACAATAATGCTGCCCAGTTAAGAAAGCAATAATGCTGCCCAGTCGGGGCATTCAACTATCTACTTGACACGTGATGGCAAAATGCAGTAATGTTCATTGTCTATAAACTACAATGGAGAGGAATGTCAACTACTGAATGAAAGGTGCAGACTGATATTGCGAATGTTCTCGCAACAGAGCACATCATTCCTCATCATCCATCATATAACATCTCATTCAAATCAGCCAATAATATGCCCCTTATTCCCCTTTCATAGTGGCTCTAGGCTCTAGCTGAATTTGCACTAGCTTCCTTTACTGGTGTGGTTCACTGGGGAGCACGTTAGTTTCTCTCCCTGGGCTTCCCACGAAAATAAGGTCTCCCCAATACCCAAAAACATTAGAATCATATCTCTTATGAGGAAGATCCACAGCTCAAATCTCAACCAGACTAAATTAACTAGCAAGCTGAGGCACCATATGAGGGATTCAGAAAACCCAAGGGATTACCAAATAGATAAGCAACAAAATGACCAGGTTCACAGCGCCGAAAAGCCTCGAAATAGCAAGCAGCAGAAGCAAGCTAATTATCAGATGCAGTGTTCAATTGCGGTTGCTAACAAACTCCGATTCAAGCAAGAGAAAAAGAATAAGACAAAAAAACAAAAAACAAAAAACACATACCTCATCAGCTTCTCGATCGCTGGGAGAACCCAGCGAGCTCTGTCGACTGAATTCCTTATCCCTAAACACCTCGAGGTCAGGGACATGGTCATCATCATCTTCAGCGGCAGCAAGAGCAGCGCCGTCGGCGTTGTTGAGCAATTCGAGGGCTCTCTGACACTGCTCAAGCACAGTTTGTAAGGTTTTCCTCTTGACACGAAGGCGATCCTTGTCCAATTTCTCCTCTCCCTTCTCCATCTCAAGGTCGCACGCCTTGGACGGTGACGGCGAAAGCGGACTGGGAGCCGAGACCTCGAATTCCATGCCTGTGAAAGAAAGGAAAATCCCCCGCCGCCGCCGACAGATCGAGCAAGCTGCCGCCCTTTCAAAAGTTTGTTTTTGTACTCCTTTACAAAGCTCTCTCTCTGTCTCTAGAATTGCAATACGGCCGGCTCCATAAATGAAGTAATGATGGATCCGAGGAATCGGGTTGGTGGACGAGAAGGAGACGGAAAAGGTTAAAGGAGAATGGGGGACAATGACACAAATATTATTTTTTTTTTAAATTTATTATATGATGGATTAAAAAGTATTGACACAGATATTGTGTTTTTGAGAAAAAAATCAGCGAGACCACCTGAGATTCAAGTGCTGCCGCTTTTGCTGTCTTTTTGGATCGTTTTATTAATGTGACAGCGACGGCGCCCAAGACTCAGGTGGCACCGCCTAAGGCATAGGTGAGTTGGTTGGAAATTGTCCCAGGCGGTGGCATCCAAGTCTAAGGTGGCACCGCTGGCTTATTGCTGGCTACCCCCCTATAAAACCAGCCACCAATTTCGTTTCAATTATTCACCACAAAAAAAATCCACCAAGATAGAGGAGAGCTCTGGTTGCTGCTGCAAAAATGGCTAATAGGTGAGAGACACATTTATTTTTGTAATTATATTATTCAAATGCTATTATGATGGTGTTTAGTTTTAATTAGTGAGTTTGTTTTTCTGTAGCGATTTTAGAAGATTTGAACTAGTCGTTCGGTGGAAATCGGAGAAAGTAGAGGATAATTTGGGCGTCAAATTCGTTGGTGGTAGTAGTTTTCAGTTGACGGTTCCATCCAGGGTCACATATCACAAACTTTGTGAGAATCTAATTCCGATAATACGGCGTAGAGACGAAGCAATACAAGATAGTGATGTGATCACAGGTTTCACTTACCGTCTTCCAGAATGACAGAATGGTGTTTTATTTCATTATGCGATGCCTATTGTGGATGATGATAGCTTAAATGTGCTTTGGAATTTTATGGCACAAAATCCTTATTGTTTGGGTGCTGAGATACATGTTGAGCTCAGTGAGGATCTGGGGGGAGAGGAAGAAGATTATACATGGAGCGTGTCATCCGATCATGACTATGATGACGGTGATGACGGAGAGGAGGAAGATGAGGAGGAGGAGGAGGAGGAAGAGGGGGAAGGAGAGCAGTCTAATTATCCTCCATATTTTTACTTGCAGGGTAATGAAGAGGACGAAGAATTATCACTTGCTGATTCATATGGCGTAATTCATATGCCTATTGTTGATAGTTTTGAAGGAGAATTCTACAAGGAGCAGATATTTCACTCGAAACAAGCTGCACAGATGGCGATTAAACACCACGCACTACAACACAAATTTCAATATGGCGTGGTGGAGTCGTCACCTTCAATCTGGAAGGTCAGATGCTTGAGGCACAAGGATGACAATTGTCCTTGGATGGTGCGGTTTGGATGTCGAGATGTTGGAGGCGAATGAATGTGAGAGGCTGAGTTGGTGCATTCTTGCAGCAGTATGACTCAACCGACGGATCATCGCCATCTTGATGTCGACATGATATCTGAGGCCGTCAAACATTTGGTACGTGCCCAACCAAATCTGAGTGTTCTAACTGTGCAGGCCGAGTTGAAAGATAAGTTTAATATGCAAGTTACTTACAAGAAGACTTGGTATGGGAAACAAAGAGCATTGGAGAAGTTGCATGGAAATTGAGAAGAATCCTACGATTTTTTGCAAACATTCTTGAGGGTGGTCAAGAGAAAAATGCCAACATCGGTGATTGATTGGGTAAGAGTTCCTTCGACTCAACCAGGTCATTCAATATTTCAGCGAGTATTCTGGGCTTATGGACCTTGTATAGATGGATTCAAAAATTGTCCAGACGTCATGGTTGTTGATGGAACATTTCTTACTGGAAAATATAAAGAAGTGTTACTCATGGCGAGCTCATTTGATGGACGGAAGAAGATTTTTCCAATTGCATTTGCCATAGTGGAGGGCGAGAATACTGAGAGTTGGCCATGGTTCATAAGTCACGTTCAGGGTTTGACTGATCGAAATGATGTATGCATCATCTCAGATAGACATGCAGGACTCTATGAAGCTATGAATAACATCGGAAGAGGTTGTGAGTGGAGGTGGTGCATGCGACACTATGCAAGCAATTTGCAAAGGAAGACTAAAAGCAGAATTATGTATAAGCAACTATTTCGAGTCGGTAAGCCTTCTTCATTTAATTTTGTTATTTATTTTCATGTAATTTTGTCATGAATTTATCTAACCCGTGTGGTTGTTTATTTTGTTAGCCGGAGAAAAAACGCTTGGAGAAGTTCGATCGTCAAGTTGAGCAATTTAAGAAGGTGGCCACTGATAGAAATATTTCATGTGATAACTGGGTGGACCAACATCAGATACGTTGGAGTTTAGCACATGATAACTACAATGGTGGGCGTCGTTGGTCTACCCTGACATCCAACATGGCAGAAAGCATCAATGGTGTTTTCAAAGGTATTCGTGCACTTCCTATAGCTTCTCTTGTGCAACATACCTATAGGCGATTGGTGGAGAAATTCGATAAGTACAGGTTGGAGACAGGAGCAGAAATTAGAAGTGGTCCTTCACAGTACTCCACCAAGTGCGAAGAGCTGATGAAGCCGTGGTCACAAAAGGCAGTTGGACATTCCGTGACAGCTCTTGATCGACGTCAAGGCATCTATGTAGTTTAGACGCCTGGTGACATCTCTATACCACTCCATATGCTCCGAGTGGTGAGCTAACTCCTCATCAGTGTATGGAGCCGTCGCTACGAACTCGTGTCGACGGTTTCAGAAAGCAAGCGATTCTCTAGAGGCGTGTACCAACTGCTGCCCACGCGATGGCCCGCGAGTAGTCTGACGAAGAAAAAACCTAACCTCAGCCTCAGGATGTGGCGGATGAGGCTCATGCTGCCTCATGCCAAACTGCCGGAGCACGCGGTCTGGATGATGCCACATCACCGATGAAAAGCAGATAAGTGGCACTACTGCTCGAAACGTCTCAGACTGTATCACACTACCTCTGAGATGAAGTGCTCTCTCAACGTAAGGTTTCCACTACACAAAAAAATATTAACGTTATTATCCCTAAATCGAAAAAAACAAATGAAAACTATTCTATAAATTGGAATGTTATATACTAACCACCACACAAAAAAATATTAAAGTCATTATCCCTAAATCTAAAAAAAACAAAAAACAAATGAAAAGCAGATAAGTGGTACTACTGCTCGAAACGTCTCAGATTGTATCACACTACCTCTGAGATGAAGTGCTCTCTCAACGTAAGGTTGCCACTACACAAAAAAAAATATTAACGTTATTATCCATAAATCTAAAAAAACAAATGAAAACTATTCTATAAAATGGAATGTTATATACTAACCACCACGGTGTCCATCGTGTCAAACCACAACTTGTACTGGAATAGCTGGTCACCATACCGACGAGTGTTGGCCGGAAGCCATCGAAGACCACGTGGGGATGCATCCTCGGAAATCTGTGCCCCCGTCTCTGAATGTCGTGGTGCCAGATGTGGGAATTGCTCCCACGCCCAAAGTTGCAGTAGGGCGACCCATCCACCAAGGTCACCGCCTAGAGAAGTGCCGGAATGCGTAATGTGCAAAGCTGACCTACCCATCTCACGATACAGGTAGGATAAAACAGCAGCTCCCCAGGCAAACCGTCCAGCTCTCTGCCAATCCTCAATTAGAAGTAGGTACTGTAGGTGCACCGTAGCTCCAGATCGATCCGGGAACAGTACACCTCCCATCATAGATAGAGCATAAGCTCGTGCAAACTGCTCTATAACCTCCTGTGATACATTTCCCGGCAGATACTGAATTCATCCCTCAGCCAAACAGTCCTAACGACACTGACACCGCCTGAAAGATCAGCTGGAACCCGTCCTAACAGTCTTAAACAGATCGCCGACCACTCCTCATCTGGTATATCAACTACGACGGCATCACCGTCGATCGCCAGATCGGACAGTGTAACAACGTCCTCTAACATGATCGTGATCTCACCAAACGGTATATGGAAGGTCGACGTCTCGGGTCGCCACCGCTCTACGAGCACAGTAATCAAACTTGCATCGGAGTTGATCGGGACCAGGGGCACGACACTAAACAAGCTAGCCGCTTCGAGATATGGCCGATAAAGCTTATGGTACATCACTAAATTGGTCGTACATCGACCATAAGATCGATCACCAGCCTTATATTAATTCAATTTCATTCGTAATAATTCTAATTTTCACCTAATAAATTCTAATCTATCTAATCTAATCTAATCTAATCTAATCTCAAATTATACTAATGTCAAAAAATTTTATACGTTATCCTATTCTAATTTTAGTACAATACAGTTTAGTTCATCAACTAAAACAATCTAATTAACTAATTACTTTACATGAATAATTATCAAAACTGCCGCCGGAGAGAACCTCACCGCGAAAATGGCCGCCTCCACGACCTCGCCGGCCTCTCCCCCTGCCTTTTCCGGCGACAGCTTCGTCTTCGTCGGACGACATATCCAAGGAGTGGAAGGTCTGCGGCGGCGGCTCCTGTCTCTGCAGCGGCGGCGGCACCTTGGTCACCGGTGGCGGCGCCTGAGACAGCGGCGACGGTGCCTGGGACAGCGACGTCGGCGACTGTGCTTGGCGGCGCTCTGGTTCGGGAGGGTGAGGGGGGGAAGGAAGAAGGAGAAGATATAAAGGGAATCCCTTGGCGCCTTTTTAAAATAGGTTTTACAGAGGTGAAGGCGGGGGCGCTGGAGACTAAGACGCCAGCGCCTCAGACAGGTTCCAAATTTTCAAAATGGCGTCTCCACCTCAGTCTCCAGTGTCCCCGCCTCTGACTCTACACAAAAAACACAATATTTGTGTCATTTATCCGGAGAAAGGAAAGTTATATTATTTACATTATTATAAAGGGATTTGATATGCTTGAGAACTTTTTATGGTTTTGTTTTCTCCTCCTCTCTTCCGAAACTTATCTTTTCAGTTCTAATTTTTCCAATTTCCAAATAATAATTTGTCGTTTGTTTGCAGTTGAGACGAAGAGCTGACGGGGCGGGAGCGCTCAAGATACATGCCTATACGTGGGCACCGGGACGTGCTGCTCACGTACTAGCACGGCACGAGCACAAGCATGAAATAAATGGACCACCTCGACATGATCACGAATAATTTATGTACCGTATCGGGCCTAATATTTTCGAAACTTTATTGAGTATAAGAACGAACATGACACGGAAATAATATTTATTTGATAGAAAATAAATATAAAAAAAATTATAGGTTCAAATATTACAAAACACAAGTAGAAAAATAATTATTTGTTGTTGTTAGAAGTGTCATAAAGATATATACGTAATTACTAACATAAGTAAAAATGGATAAAGAATTAAACAAAACCAAATCACACTCGCTATACTTCCAATTTCCTTTTCCCCCTGATTTGTTACTTTTCTCGAACATTCTCGATTAATACTATCTTCTTCCGTCCAATTTTCACCTTATTTTTCATTCTCTCTTTTATTTTCGTCATTTTCATTAAACACGAATACTAGCATGGCACGAGCACGAATAGGCACGACACGATTCGAACCGTACCCGGGCCTAGCAAAGTTAACAAATGGGCTTGCATGACACGACACGAAAACTGACGGGCCGTGCCAAGCACGACACAAAATAAACGGACCCGAAGCGTGCTCGTGCTGTGCCGGCCCAAGCACGGCCCAACGCCCATGTACATACATGCCCCCATCAGTAACTAAACATGGAAGTTCGATTCAGTAAATCGAGATCTAAAAGAAAGAATTAAAAGTCATTTTTATTTTCTCTTATTTTTTTAATCGGCTCATATATTCTTCGTTTTAACTCGGATTTCAATTTTTTTTTTGTACAGATGGAATAAGTTCGTTGTGTTCAACAAAACGAGATCCATTTTCAATATTTATTGAAAAAAATTCTTGCATCTCTGTACCAACCGCATATCATATGATATCTTCTTCGTTTTTAATTCTTATACAGGACAAAAAATATCACATAATACCACCCCTTGGTACAGGGTGGTATTTTGTGGTACACAATGTTAAAAGTCATAAATGACAGTTAATATACTTCTACTATCATGTATTCAGCAATCCTACAGTCTTGGTTTGTTCATACTACCATGATACGCTTTTCAAACCATATGTATGCTCTTATTTCAATACCAGTCAATACCATATGGTATAGACTGGTAAAAAATGACTCAAATTTTTTTGTTCCAAAAATATATCAAAGTGGATATCATTTTCAAGAACACAATTACTCTGATCTAACTGTGCAAAAAAAAAATCAACTTAAAACGAGTGAGAAATCGTTCGTTAAAGATTGGGGGGATTAAAGGCTTTTTAGGAGAGAGAATGAGTGCTGATGTGGCGTATGCTGATTGGGTTATGCATGGTTATTGACCGGATCTGCTCCTAGACAAAAGGGGCCAGACCAAGCTAAGCTAGCCGGCGAGTTGATGGCATAATAGGATGTAGTCGCCGCCCGCCGCCGTGTATTTGTCATCGAATTGATGAGCTTAATAGAATAGGATATGAAAAAAATAATATTTATTAATGATTTTTTATTAAATTTAAATTTGAAAAGTTAAATATATATTAATTGTAGTTTTCTCTCTCTCTCTCAATTAGGTATTTAACAACTTTTTGGTTGTTCTAGGGTTTTGACTTTGAGGATTGAACTTACCTCCACCCTTCTTCTCATTGATTCATATATATAGTCTCGGCTAAGGGTGGAAATTTGATTTGCGGGTTGCGGGTAACCCGCAAACCGCACACTTTGTGGATACCCATACTCACAATTTGTGGATAGTGGGTTGGGTGTGGTAGTAAAATATTATTTTTTGTGGTTAGTGGTTAACCACTACACATCGCGGTTTACCCACAAAACCCACATTAACCACATTAGTTATATTTATATATTCAAAATACTTTGTAACCCACATTAACCACATTAGTTATATTAGTTTGTGAAACTTGGAAGACTAAGAATTAAAGTAGCTACCAAAATTAAATACGCACTTATTCTATAAAACAAAACCAAGTCAATACGCAATGTTCATAAGAGATACTTTTATCAATATGCATTGTTTGTGTGGTATATGTTTATTTTATAACAAAACCAAGTCCATAGATATACTGAATGGTTAAAGGTCGTCCTAAAAATTACTAACCACCGTCCTAACTTAATATGTAATTTACCAAATTGCCCATTTTAAGTTTCAAAATCAAACACAAAACAAACAACCCCTCCCCCTTCCATAAATCTAAAAAATATATAAACCAAAATCCAACAAATTATCTTATGGACCGAACCATAAATCGTAGTAAAAGAATAGAAAATTATTGATACAAATCAAACAAATCCAAAAAAATCCCAAAACCCCTCAACCGAAGGCAGTTTTTGGTTGTACCATGGCTCAACCTAAGGCAATTTTCGGTTGTACCATGGACCAACCGAAAATCACCTTCGATTGAGGGGTTTTGGGTTTAAAAAAAATCAGATTTTTACCTTGTCGGAGTCTCTACTCATGATTCGGACGTATAACCTTCTTGAATTAGACTGTCAGAGAGCTTTGAAAACCACTGGCGAGAGGCCTGTTTCAAACCATATAGGGATTTGTGCAGTTTACAAATAGGGTTGGGAACTTCAGGAGGTGCTTCCATGCTTGGAGGCAAAGCCATATAGACTTCCTCCTTCAAGTCTCCATGGAGAAACGCGTTATTGATATCAAGTTGGTGAAGGATCCAATTTCTGGCAGCTGCAGTTGCTAAGATCAATTTGACAGTAGTCACCTTCACAATAGGAGCAAAGGTATCAATGAAGTCTATACCTTCCCTTTGTGTGTAGCCCTTCGCTACCAATCTGGCCTTGTGTCTCTCAATGGCCCCAGTAGAATGATACTTGATTCTATAGACCCATTTGCAACATATATTTTTTTTTCCTTTGGGTAAAGAAACAACAGTCCAAGTTTCATTTTGCTCCAAAGCTTTTCTTTCTTGATTCATAGCTGCATTCCAGACTTCATCTTGGGAAGCCTGTGCATATGTTTCTGGTTCTATTATAGCATAAATGGACATAACAAAATGTCTGTGGGAAGGAGATAACTTAGTATAAGAGAGAAAAGACTCAATGGGATACCTCTTGCTTGTAGTGGTTGGACATGTCTTGAATACGAATAATTGTTGCCTGCGGTTAACCAAGTGCTCACAGTCATATTGGCTCAAGTGACTAGGGGGTTTGATGACCCTGGGAGGCAAGACTCTAGTAGACAATGGAGGAGAAGGTGGAAAGTAAATGGGAGGAGGGACTTCTGGAGGGCTATCGGTGTTTTTGTCATTATCAGAGAAGTCAGAAGAGTCATCATCTGGGAGAGTAGTGCCAGCAGACATAGAAGGTGGAGGAACATAGTCAGGATCATCAACAGTTGAAACTGATCTAGGAAGGATGGATGGTGGTTCAATGTTTCCAGAAGGAGGATTGGAAGACATTGCAAAAGGAAAAATGGACTCATGGAAAATGTCATTTCTGGAGATAAAAACTTCATGAATGTCCAAGTCATAAAGTCTGTAACTTTTAACTCCAGAGGTATAGCCTAGAAAAATGCATTTGCGAGATATAGGAGAGAACTTTGTTCGAGTTCTTGGAAGTGTAGAGGCAAAACTAAGGCAACCAAACACTCTGAGAAAACTGAGATCTGGGGGCTTATCATGGAACAACTCATAGAGTGATGTGTTCTTTAAAACTTAAGAAGGAATTCTGATTATGAGAAACACTGCATGTTTGACACAATCTGACTAGAATTCAATAGGAAGATATGCTTGAAATTTCAAAGCTCTGGCTACGGCTAAGATGTGTTGATGTTTTCTTTCTACTTTGGAATTTTGTTCTGGTGTTTCAACACAGGACATCTCATGTATGATTCCTTTTTGTGAATAAAAATCTCTCATGTTGAACTATGCACCTTGGTCACTACAGATTTTAAGGATTTTGCAGGAAAACTGAGTTTCAACCAGATTGCAAAAAGAAATCAGATGTTTTCTGGCTTCAGATTTTTGTTGCATAAGAATCACCCATGTTAATCTGCTATAGTCATCTACTATGGTAAGGAAATAAAAATAGCCATCATGAGAAGGATGTGAAAGGGGTCCCCAAATATCAGTATGAATAAGCTCAAAAATCTTTTTAGTAGTAGTGGTACTAACGAGAAATGGTAATCGTTTTTGCCTTACAAAATGGCATACATCACATTTGTTGCTGTGAACTATATCTATACTAGGATGCAACCTTTTAAGATAAGGGATTCTAGACTGGGAAATGTGGCCTAACCTATAATGCTATAGATTGAAAGGTTCAGTTGTGCTTGAGGCAACAACCTTCATAAGACTACTGACATGGTTTCTATCCAGCTTGTAGATGCCATTATGGAGCTCAGCAGAACCAATCATTTGCATCTTCAACATATCCTGAATAAAGCAAGAAGAAGAGAAGAAACTTAGGCACATGTTGGTATGTTTGGTGAGTTTGCTCACAGACATAAGATTAAAACTAAACTCAAGAACATATATGACATCTTGTAGCATTAAGCTATCAGAGAACTTCACTATTCCCATATGAGTAGCTTGAACTGTTTGACCTGTAAGCAGTGTAAGCTAGACATTCATGATAGATCTAGATCTAGCAAATAATTTTGGATCACATATCACATGATCAGTGGCTCTTGTGTCAAGTATCCAGACAACCTCTTTTAGTGAATCATTCTGAGGTAAGACAGATAGACCATAATTGCCTTCATCATTGTAAGTCTTACTAATGAAGGCATCAACTTAGTGGGTTGAAGGCATGCTAGGTGGACCAGATAGTGCAGCATTGCTCTCCTTTCCTTTTAG